GTTAAAAAAAGGAATCGTGAGCGAACACTAGGTTATATTTATTAGAAAACGTTTGGTTCTGTGACCTTAATAACAAAATTTATAAACATTTCCTGTTTTTCTTTCTACTGACACACTTTAATTTTTTTGCATTTATTTCATCTCCAGATAAATTCCTTAGCAAAATGGTTTTAATTTTCATTATAAAAAATGAAGATGTACCTACGATGGTAGCTTTTGGAATAGGCTGGACAAATATGTGGGCCTGCTGGAATAATCCAGCAAGCCTGGCAGGTAATGAGAACAAGCCCATTTATCTTAGTGCTGGGGGTAATGACATTGGGAAGGGCAGGAGAGAGGAGCTGCTTGATAAGTATAGGTCAGCCATAGAAGTAGTTAGGTCTAAGGGAGGGATCCCAGTCATATGTAGCATCTTGCCTAGAAAGGGAGTGGGCAATGAATGGATGTCTAGGGCAATTGGTATAAATCGCTGGCTAGACAGGTACTGCAAGGAACTTGTAGAAGAAAGAATGTAATGACCGAGAGGACACGTCCTTCTCACATCCATCCCTTCTCACTTGTAACTAGTGGTCAGGCAAAAAAGTTATTAATGTTTTCTGTACCAAGATACCGTTTTATTGCAGTGTCTGACAGAGTGAATAGGATAATGATGTATACCACTGGAACATACTGGTCCTTCAGCTTCACGTTGCTCCAGACTATGGAGCAAACTCTTCTCCAGGCTGAGGGACTGACAACCTCAAAACTGTCTTCAAGGGTGATGGACTGATTACATCGTTTTTACATCTCTACTGCTGCTGCCTCTATATTTGATTACAGAAGCCTAATGTGTAGGCGAAATGTTTCGGAATAAGGTTACAATTATTCCATAAGCATAGTAGCGGTTGGGTTGAACTCATGTAATCACTTATCAGATCAGTCTCACAGTGTGTCCAGATCAATCTTTAGCCTTTCCCTTGTCATCCCTGGTTTTTGTTCTCGTTAGTTTTAAATCATCATCAGACAGAGATACAGCGACTCAATCCCATATGGAATGTCATCCACACACACATCAGAAACAGTACTGGTCCCAGTAGGGATCCTTGAGGAAACCCGCTTGTCACTCCTCGACTTTCTGACATCTCTTCCTAGACAATCATTCTTTGTTTCCTTCCGCTAAGGTACCCTTTAATCAAACCACATAAGAACATTCTCTATTATTCCTGCTTGCACCTCAAGTTTTTTTGCCCTAGTGTCTTTTGAGGTACAGTATTAAATGCCTTCTTGCAGTCCAAATATATGCAAGCTTCCCATCCCTCTTTCTCCTGTCTCACTTCGTCATAGAACTCCAGCATGTTGTAGTAAGACAAGGCTTACCATCTCTAAACCCATGCTGAATACTGCTCAAAATCACTTCTTTCCAAGAGTTGTTTTACTCTTCTGATTATCTTCTCCATTACCTTACATTGTATCCATGTTAGAGAAACTGAACTCTAATTCAGTGCTTACTGTCTCCTTTCTTAAATACTGGGACTACATTCACTGGCCTCCAGATCTCTGACATTTCTCCCGTGTCCATTGGTATGAAAATCCTAGCTATTAGTTCATGGAGTGTTTCCGCTCCCTCTCGTTGAATCCAAGGTAACATTTTGTCAGATTCTATTGCCTTCGATGTATCCAGCTCACTCAGAAGTTTCTTTTACCTCTTCCCCTATTGTGTGTATATTTTCCATTAGCCGTCGGTGTACCCATTGCTCTATGCCTTCTGGTATTGTCCCTCTTCCTACTGAGAACACCTCCTCAGATCATTTTTTCATCACTTAACAGACTTCCTCGTTGTAACTCGTGAGCTCGTCTTTTTTTTTTAATGTGGACGTGAAGACGTTCTGGCTCGGTCTTGACTGAGCCAGATTAATGCTCAGCCTCTCTCCTCACTCTTGCAAATTCATTTCTAACTTTTCTTTTCGCTTCTCTGTTCTTGACTGTCCTTTGCTTCCTATAGTTTTTTCCGAGCTCTTGTGCTCCTTGTTTTTCTCTTTATGCAAGTATGGGTGAATTTTGAGCTTTGTTTTTTGAATTTTCAAATTCTTCTTATGGATGTGAATTTCTCCTTTGCTGCCCAGCACTTCTCAGTTAGGAACGCCCTCTTCACATTCAGTGACTTTTCTTCCAGCTCCCTGTTCCACTGCACTTCACCACGAATTCTGTCATCAAAATTCCGCCTTCTAAAGCCTGGTATCTCGTACCTTCCTCCTGCCTAACTCTCAATATCTAGTTCGGTAAGAGATATGAAATTTGGTACAATATGGTCGCTGGCGCCCAGTGGGCACGCATATTCTATTTCACTAACGCAAATGTGCTTGTAAAAATACAGGATCAAATCTTGTTTGTTCATCTCCTTTCTGCTCATGTCCTTAAAAGGCTGATGTAAAGAGTTTTCAACATCCATCTCCACCATCATCGCTCTGGTGTTACTGATCCAACTTGTTGGTCCCGGTTCTCCCTGTCAGTTTTTTTGTTGGTCACTCAAGTTTAATAACTTTATTTTAGCTCTACCAGATCTCCTTGATGCATCCACTAAGGTATCACCCATTGCCTTGATGTTATCTGCTTATTTTAATCTTGATCTACAGTGTGTGAGTACTCACCTAATTGTGGTTGCAGAGGTCGAGTCACGGTTCAGGGCCCCGCCTCTTCACTGGTCGCTACTAGATACACTCTCCCTGCTCCATGAGTTTTATCATACCTTTCCTTAAAGCTATGTATGGAACCTGTCTCCACTACACCACTCTCCAGATTATTCCTCTTCCCGACAACTCTGTGACTGAAAAAATTCTTCCTAACATCCCTGTGACTCATCTGAGTGTTCAGTTTCTAACTGTGACCCTGTGCTGTGTCCCATCTTTGAAACTTACTGTCCCTATCCGCCTTGTCAATTCCTCTTAGTATTTTATATGTCGTTACCTTGTCTCACTTTCCCTACGTCCTCCAGTGTCGCCAGGTCGACTTCCATAAGCTCTCCTCGTAGAACATACCCCATAGCTCCGGACTAGTCTTGTTGCAAACGTTTGCACTTTCTCTAATTTCTTGATGTGCTTGATCAGGTGTGGGTGCCAAACTGGTGCTGCATACTCCAATATGGGCCTGACGTACACGGTGTTCAGAGTCTTGAACGATTCCTTACTGAGGTTTCGGAAAGCTGTTCTTAGGTTTTGCCAGGTGCCCATATGGTGCAGCAGATATTTGGTTGATGTACGCCTCAGGAGATGTGCTCGATATTATACTCACCCCAAGATCTTTTTTTTTAGGTGACTTTTGCAGCCTTTGGCCCTCTAGTCTGTACTCTACCGTATCTTTGCCCTTCCCTGAGCTTCATGGCTTTGCACTTGGTAGCGTTAAACTCCAGGAGCCAGTTGCTAAACCAGGCTTGCAGCCTGTCCAGATCCCTTTGTAGTCCTGCCTGATTCTCATCTAATTTAATTCTCCTCTGTAGCATCAAATCGTTTACAAACAGAGACAATTCTGAGTGTATCACTTCCGTCACGTCATTCACATATACCAGAAACAGCACCAGCCCTAGGACTGACACCTGTGGAACCCTTCTCGACACAGAAGCCCATTCTGACACTTTGTCGCGTACTATGACTCGTTGTTGCCTCCTTGTCAGGTATTCTCTGATCTATTGCAGTGCTTTTCTTGTTATACGTGCCTGATCCTCTAAATTTTGCACTAATCTCTTGTATGGAACTGTCTAAAGCCTTTCTGCAGTCCAAAAAAATGCAGTCTACCCTCTCTCTCTCTCTCTCTCTTTCTTTCCCTTTCATCTTACTTCCGTCACCTAGTTATAAAACTCCAGTAGGTCTATGACACAGGATTTCCCTTCCCTGAAACTGTGCTGGTTGTCAAGTATAAACTTGTTCCTTTCTAGGTGCTCCACCACTCTTCTGATAATCTTCACCATGACTTTGCATACTATGAATGTCAGTGGCATGCATAGTCAGTTTAATTCCGCGTGTTTGTCTCCTTATAAACTGGAGCTACATTTGCTGTCTTCCACACCTCAGGTAGTCGCCCTGTTTCGATGGATGTGTTGAAGATCGTTGTTAGTGCCACACAATGCCAGTGATCTCTCTCTCAAGACCCACGGTCACACCTGACTCTTCACCTCCTCCTCGGTTGTATGTATTGTGTCCAGCACTTCTTGGTGTACCGTACAATTCTTGCATTCTGGAGTCCTTTCTGTCTTAAATATCGTGTTGAGCTCTTCACATACTTCTCGGTCGTATCTTGTGAACTCTCCTCCTTCCTTCTTAAGCTTGATTACCTGGTTTTTGATTATTCTTTTCTTCCTGACGTGGCTGAACAACAGGTTTGGGTCAGACTTGGCTTTCGATGCTATGTCGTTTTCGCATTGCCGATGGGCCTCCCTCCTTATCTGTGAATATTCCTTTCAGGCTCTTCGACTAATCTCTTTATTTTCTTGGATCTTTTGCCTTCTATTATTTTTCCTTTCTCTAGCACTCTTAGTTTTGGCCTCTCTACACATTTAGGCGAACCAAGAGCTCGTTCTGGTCTTCCTATTATTTCTGTTGGCCCTGGATACGAACCTTTCCTTTACCTCCTTGCATTTTGTTGTCACATAGTCCGTTATTTCATTTACTACTTTTCCCACCAGTTCTCTTTCCCACTGAACCTCATATAGGAAATTCCTCGTCTGTGTAGTCCCCGCTTTTCTAGTGTGTGTGTGTGTGTGTGTGTGTGTGTGTGTGTGTGTGTGTGTGTGTGTGTGTGTGTGTGTGTGTGTCTGTCTGTCTGTCTGTCTGTGTGTCAGTCCGCCCGCGCAGTGTACAGTGTCCTTGTATTGTACTGTATCAGAAATCGCAAACTGAATCATATTCTTGCCACCAGATAGCCCAGAAACCTACACCCAATTTTTTGTCGGAGAAGTCGGGTTTAGTGCTCTGGTTGTCCCACTCAGTTACAAATTCCTGTAATCTGGAGAAGTTGTGAGTAAAACGAAAAAGAAATTCTGTTACTTACTCAGTTTCGTTGTTTTCAAAGACAAGTTCGCCTTCCGTTGCCTCGTAGTCCTTTCCGGCCTTGGCTGTACCGTCCTCAGTCTTGTAAGGCACAGTTACTCGGCCTCGGGCACCAGACCAACGCACAATCTTCAGTTCGTATGTGCCAATGGTCTCCACAATTTCTACGTCTTTCTCGCTGACGTTGAAGATGCCACCGTGATCATCGTCGAGGATCATAATAGTAGCAACATATGGAGCTGCCAGTTCCATCTTGACGGGTTCTTTGGGTTGGCCAGCAGCACCATTGATGGCGTGGGTCACAGCAGTACCGTCAGGAGAACCCAGGCGCATGTTGGAGAGTCGAACGTAGAAGTGTTCATCCTCCTCGAAGACTTCGTCGTCAATAACTTCAAGATTAAAGTTCTTCTGGGTTTCGCCAGGCAGGAAGACCAGAGTGCCTTCGGCAGCCACGTAATCGCCACCAGCGTTTGCAGTGCCATCTTCAGTTTTGTAGTCAACAAGAACGGTGGTATTGAGGTCTCCCTCCTTCTCGACAACTGTTGCTTCGAAGGTACCCACGTTTTCCATTACAGTGTAATGGCCAGGATCGAAGAAAATGCGGATAATGTCTTCGTCTTTCTTGTCTAGTCCTTCATCATCTTTACCCACCTTAACTTCCTCCCTTGCTTTCTTCATGATGTTACCTCCGCCGGTCAGCTTCCTTGTGGCCTGAATACGGTAGAAGGCGCGAGACTTGGGACCTCGGTTAATAATTTCCTCGCGGGCCATAGATTCTAGGTTTTCCATGGCGATGTTAGGATGTTTTTGACGAAGCTCACGGATGACTGCCATATATTCTTTTCGATGTTCCTCAAATTCCCTAACAGACTCGTCCACATTTTCGTCATAACAGTGGCCCTCCTTCATCCTTCTTGCCTAACTCGACATCAGCGCCTTCTACTTCGATAATAACTCCACGCTTTCCCATACGGTATTCTTTTGTCATATATTTGTAGAACAGAAGACGACGATCAGCGATATAGGCAAGAACAACGGTAATGGGGAAGAAAAGGAAAGTCAGAAAAGCTTCCCAGAACTCCACAATACCGTATGAGATTTCAGCAAGAATTAAATATAGCCAGATATAAGCAAATATGGAGAAGAAGGCTGTAACGAAGAACACTCGAAGATGCTTGATGTGTCTCACCTCTCCATCAGGAATTACATAAACGCAAATACCGATGATGACAAACAGATTAAAAGCAGCGGAACCGACAATGGTTCCGGGACCGAGGTCTCCAGCTTCGAAGTTTGTGGCAAACATTTCAACAACAGACAGCAAAATTTCGGGAGCCGAGGAACCCAGAGCCATGAGGGTGAGGTTGGCTACAGTTTCGTTCCATACTTGTACTACGATGATCTGCGTCTCACCATTTGGTTTTTTCACGGTAACTTCCTTCTCTTGTGAAGTGATCATTTCAATGGAACCCATGAAACGATCAGCTATGATGGACACACCAATAAAAAGCCACACCATGGCCACGAAGTAGACGATAGCTCGAGCCACGCGGTCTCCGATAGTTAGATTTTCTTGTGGTGACCATAGCGGGAGTAAGAGACCATCAACACATTTTCCAAAGATGTCAGTTTCGTTACCTTCCGTAGCAGAGACCGGACTGCAAAGGGTAAGCACTATAACACTCAGACCTAATAAACGCATTCCCCAGCGGGGAGAGCAGTTAGCTCTGTTTTCAACCATGGTGCCGGTAGGACAAGCTATCACCACACCTCACAGACACTGGACACAGAAGAGGAGGAAAAGAAATTGTTTCGGGATCAGAGGTTGAGTCTAGTCATGACGACTTCCACTGTCACACTATCACCGGCCGTGACCACACGTCTCACTTCACACACAGCTAGCCACCAAATAATGGACGGGACGCGCAGCCCAGCAATAACAGACCAACGCAAGCGCAACATCTCGAGCTGCCACTACTCACTACTTGTCACATCACTTTACCGCCCCTACATTTATTTTATTACCCGGCTAATTTATCACTTTAACTTCCATATTACACGTGTCCCTATAATAAGGTAGAGCTAGGTTAAAATAAATTGAGTCAAGGAGTAGGCCACGTTAACCAGTCAGGGGATCTCAATGGCACCAGGTCCCATGGGGTATTTTGGGCACAAGCGGCTTTACACTAGTCGGAACCAATACTCCGTGTGGCTGCCCTGCTACACCCTGCACCAACATTGTAACTGATTTGTAACGCCCTTTAACACTCCTAACACTCCCCGTATTAGATATGTGACACCCACCCCGTATCTATACAAGATCAGCTCTATGTTCTGAAACTTAACGGATGTTAAATCTGGCTACAAGAGTAGTTTTAATGTATCGTACCTAGCGAAAGGAGGATAGAGCGTCCATCGCTTCTTATGCTGTACAGCCCGGAAGGATTTAGCACTTCATATACATAATTCTAAATAACTTCGACCGAAACGTCGTAAGTTTCCTCAGTGCGGGTTATTGTGTATTCTTCCAGCCTCGATATTGTGACATTTTACTCTTCTAAATTGTGAATGATGTGAAGATTTTTCTACGTAGCCTAAACTGTTGGTTTGCTTCTTAAATTTATTTGCTGTGAAAGCTAGGTCGAGGGAGCGTTAACAGTTTTGTGTACACACAACCACTGGTGATTCCATCTTCCACTACACTGTTACCATCTCCAGGTGGAGTTCCTCACTTCATGCATTCTTTAAATTTAATGTTTATCTTTTACCGACACACACACACACACACACACACACACACACACACACAAAAAAAAAAAAAAAAAAAAAAAAAAAAAAAAAAGTAATATTTACTTTCTCTCGAGAACTCTAAAATTGTGTAATTCATATATTCCGATGAGAAAGGTGGAAAAAATCAATGAAATCTCCTGCAGTTCTTCTCAGGTATGGAACTACATAGCTGCTGCTGCTGCTGCTACTGCTGCTGCTGCTACTGCTGCTGCTGCTGCTGCTGCTGCTGCTGCTACTGCTGCTGCTGCTGCTGCTGCTGCTGCTGCTGCTGCTGCTGCTGCTGCTGCTACTGCTGCTGCTGCTGCTGCTACTGCTGCTGCTGCTGCTGCTGCTGCTGCTGCTGCTGCTGTTACTGCTGCTGCTGCTGCTGCTGCTGCTACTGCTGCTACTGCTGCTGCTGCTGCTGCTACTGCTGCTGCTGCTGCTGCCGCCGCCCCCGCTGCCGCCGCCTCCGCCGCCGCCGCCTCCGCCGCCGCCGCCGCCGCTGCTGACAGCTGTGAAGAAAACACGTTTAAAAACACCTGTATTTGGACAATAACGCTTAATTTTTTCTCCACTAACTATGCATGTTTATTAATAAAGCGTTCATAAAACGGTGTAGAATATAGGCTCTACACTAACCTCTCTCGCGAACAGAAGATCGAGCCTCCAATGCTCTTTACAATGAGTAACCCTCACTGGTTTATGGTATCATCATCGGATTTTTTCTAGGAGTTTATTATTATTTTCCTAAGAGCATACCGAATTTGTAGTCTGAGTTTCTCGAAGAGGAATGTACATACACCAGACCTTCACCGATTTACATTTCCCTTCCTTCTTCATCAAAAACTGCAAGAAAAAAGCCCTTCAGACCATTAATTCTCCACGCACCATCACTCCTAACATAGTTATAATGCTTCTGAACAGCCAGGTTGTATTGAACGTTTCACTCTCAGCTTCTTAAGCTGCAGTTAGAGCTGCTCAGCTGAGGACATCTTGGCTCAGTTCCACGTGAAGCCCACCACGTGAAGCCTACCACGTGAAGCCCACCACGTGAAGCCCACCACGTGAAGCCCACCACGTGAAGCCCACCACGTGAAGTCTACCACGTGAAGCCCACAACGTGAAGCCTACCACGTGAAGCCCACCAGACTCGCTAGGGGAGATATCCTCGAAGTGTATAAGTGGATGATGGGCATAAGCAAAAGCGATATTAATAAAACAGTGAGGATATCGACTCGGGTAAGAACCAGGAATAACGGATTTAAGTTGGATAAATTTAGATTTTAAAAGGACATAGGTAAGTATTGGTTTTCAGAGTGGTCGACGCGTGGAACAATCTTCCGAGTAGGGTGATCGAACATAAGAATGGAGGAACACTGCAGAAGGCCCACTGGCCCATACAAGGCAGGTCCTTATCAAAGCCACTGCTACCCAAAGCTACCCAAGAATTCACTCCCATACGCACAAAAGCAATCACACCCAGCCCCTCCCACTCACATATTTGTCCAAATCTCTTTTTAATGATACCCAGGGTCCTAGCCTCGATTACCTTACTAGGAAGAGTGTTCCACGTATCTAACTCTTAAAACCAGTACTTACCTATGCCCTTTCTAAATCTGAATTTATCTAACTTAAATCCGTTTTTCCTGGTTCTTACCTGATTCGATATCCTCAGTATTTTATTAATATCGCCTTTGTTTATGTCCATCATCCACTTATTCACATCGATGATATCTCCCCTCATTCTACGTCTCTCTAGAGAGTGAAGATTGGGAGTAAGACACATGTGCAACATCTGGGTATCTTTATTGTAGACGTTTCGCCATCCAGTGGCTTTATCAATACAAATTCTAGGACATAACTTGAAGACAGTAGAACTATGTACAGAAGATGAGGTAATCAGTCCCTCAACCTAGGAGTAGGTGCGAACAGCACCATAGTCGTGGAGATTCTGAAGCAGAAGAATCCTGGCGCTTATATAGTAACGTCAGGTGAAGCAGACGAGGGCAAATTCACTGGTAGGCGGGATTCCCAGTGGAAGTAGGTCCTTCCCAAAGAGATGGGTTAGTTGTAGTAGTAGTTGTCATAGTCGTGAAGGTTATGTACATGTCCTCAGACAACTACTACTACAACTAACCCATCTCTTTGGGAAGGACCTACTTCCACTGGGAATCCCGCCTACCAGTGAATTTGCCCTCGTCTGCTTCACCTGACGTTACTATATAAGCGCCAGGGTTCTTTCTTCTGCTTCAGAATCTCCACGACTATGGTGCTGTTCGCACCTACTCCTAGGTTGAGGGACTGATTACCTCATCTTCTGTACATAGTTCTACTGTCTTCAAGTTATGTCCTAGAATTTGTATTGATAAAGCCACTGGATGGCGAAACGTCTACAATAAAGATACCCAGATGTTGCACATGTGTCTTACTCTCATCTTGTCGGTATTATATACCATTCGTACACAACCTGTCAGACACTGCAACATCATGGAATCTTAATTCTGAGGACATGTACATAACCTTCACGACTATGACAACTACTACTACAACTAACCCATCTCTTTGGGAAGGACCTACTTCCACTGGGAATCCCGCCTACCAGTGAATTTGCCCTCGTCTGCTTCACCTGACGTTACTATATAAGCGCCAGGATTCTTTCTTCTGCTTCAGAATCTCCACGACTATGGTGCTGTTCGCACCTACTCCTAGGTTGAGGGACTGATTACCTCATCTTCTGTACATAGTTCTACTATCTTCAAGTTATGTCCTAGAATTTGTATTGATAAAGCCACTGGATGGCGAAACGTCTACAATAAAGATACCCAGATGTTGCACATGTGTCTTACTCTCATCTTGTCGGTATTATATACCATTCGTACACAGAGTGAAGATTCATGGCTCTAAGTCTATCTTCATACGGGAGATTCCTTATACAGTAAATCATTTCAGTCATTCCTCTCTGTTTCTAAAGTACTCGCACAAGCTAACTCTGGAGTCACCATAGCATCCAACACTTCAAATAAGAGGAAATGGTATGGTGATACCGACAAGATGTGGAAAAAGACACTTATGTACAGTTCAGGACATTTATTAAAGGAAACGTTTTCGCCACGATTTTTTTCCCTTCGCCAAAACTACAACTTTCCCATTTTCCTTTGGGAAGGGGCCCTATTTCCCCTCATTTTTGGGAAATTCCCGCCTTTCCAATTTTGAAAATTTTTTGTTTGGTTAACCCGGGAGGGGGTTACTTAAAAAAATAAGGCCCCAGTTCTTTCTTCTTTCGGAATTCCACGCCCAAAGGGTCTGTTGAAACCTAATCCTTGTTGGGGGACTGATTAACCTTTCACCTTAAAATATTTCCTCCCCTTTTTTTGGGAAAGTTTTCCCGGGGGAATTTTGTTGAAAAAGCCCTGGGGGCCAAAAACTTCCCTCCCAATAAAGCCCGGTTTTTCACTGTTCAAATCCCCACTTGGGTGGTTTAATACCCATTTTGTAACAACCCTTTCCCCGACATGCAACATCTTAATTAAAATTCTAAAATTTGTAAATAAACCACTAGGGCAAACTTCTTTAAAAAATTAAACCCAATTTGGGGAAACCTTATCCACCTGGGAATTTTTCCCGTACCGGGTTAAAATTTTCCCCCCTTGTCTTTTTAAACCTGGGAGCCCCCTTAAAATTACGAAAATTTTTCTTTTTTTTCCCCTTTTTTTAAATCCTCCAACAAATTGGGCCCTGCCCCAAACCTTCAAAAAGGGAAAAGGGAGGGAACCCCCAAAATTTTTGGAAAAGCACTTTTAAGTTAGGAAATTTTTTTAAAAAAGCCCCACGGATGGCCCGCCCAAACAAAAAAAAAAACCCAATTTTGGTTGGGGGGACATGGGTCTTAATTTAATTTGAGTATTTAAAATTGGAAACAAAGGGGGGTTAAAAGGGGGATTCTGGCTCAAGTCACTTCCCCAGGAGGGAAATTCCTTAAAATTTTTAAATATTTCAGGTTTCATTTTTTTTTTTTTTTTTTCCCCTTTTTTTTTAACCCCTTTTTTTTTTTTTTTTTTTTTTTTTTTTTTGGGGTTTTTTTTTTTTTTTGGCTTTTTTTTTTTTTTTTTTTTTTTTTTTTTTTTTTTTTTTTTTTTTTTTGTTTTTTTTTTTT